AGCATAAGAACTTTCCTAGAATAATTGTAAGAAAACGAAACTTGGGGCTGAAATGATTTGATGGCTTACTTTGTGTCAAATCCAGCCATGATGTCTAACTTGGATGAATATAATTGAGAATAAACTGAAAATAAATATCAAGCAAAGGCTTGAAAGTTCACCGAACGACTCATGCCGATGGGTTAAATTTCTTGGTGGGGTTGATCCGTGATCGGCCAACTGCATGTGTGATAAAATTCGCAGAATTTGGTTGAGATCAGCATTAATTCACTGTAAGCATGCTTTTCAACCATTATGATAGGGTTACTGAGCAATATTCTTGTTGTAGAGTAACTGGTGTTTTTACTTGTCAATTCAGAATCTCAATATCATTATTATTCAATTTTGAGGATAATACCAAACATGATCTTGAGGTTACAATGCATACCAGGTACACAGAGCTACAACAACAGTGAGGTCAAGGCAAGGATCTCAAGTTGTCCCGCACTAACCTATAATGGGACCTAGCTTCCTTTGAAGCTTACTTAAGCGCAATTCGCAAAGAACACTTTTCACCAGTCGCGAAAAAGCTCTTCTCTTCAAATTTCTTCTTCTCACAACATCAAGCTTTTGAAGCTTCATTCACAACACCTTCAACAGTCTTTCATACCGCACAATAACCATGTCTGCAATGGATGTATTCTGGGCAGCTCCGCCTATTTCAAGGTATGCGCAATGCGTTCTGCGAAAGAGGCGCCTATCAATTAATACTGATGCTGATGATAGTGCATAGGACTTTGGCTACTGGTGCCTTGACTCTTTCGATCTTGGTCTACACTCATATTCTCTCAGGTTATCATGTCATGTTCTTATTGCAACCTATAATGCAATTCCCGCCTCAATTATGGCGACTGATTTCTCCCTTTCTTGTCACTGGCCCAGACTTGGGTATTCTCTTCGACACATACTTTCGTAAGATTTGAAGGATCGCATTACAATCAGGATAGATTGACTTACATTGGCACAACAGTATACACTTATGGAAGCAAGCTTGAAACAGCTTCGCCTAGATTCTCTCAACCAGGAGATTTCTTGACATATGTATTGTTTGTTTGTGCGACGATCTTGGTAGGCATTATCTCTTTTTCTTTTCTTCTCTTATTGTTCCTTTAAACCCCACCTCTATACTGCCCGTTTAGTGCAATGCTCTTAGCTACAACGGTTCCTAAAACGAGGAAGATTACCCTTACATCTTGGCTGGTCCGACATTCGCAAAACAACAAATAGGATCAGTCAAGGTGTAGGCATGGTGGGAAGTTCCTATGAGAAAACTCGTGTTGATTCCTCAACTTAACTCGGGTGGTTGTGGCTCCCTACATTTCAAGTCATTATCATTGAGATGTTGTTACTTGGTGTTTCTATTTCAAGAGATACCTTGTAAAAATCTCATCTAACAAATGCGCAGGGATTGAATGTATTTATAACAGGCGGTGTCATCTTTACATCGGCGTTGGTATTGGCTTTCGCATACACTTCGACACAAGATGATCGTGGCATGAAAGCTACCTTTTTCGTCATCACCATTCCAGCACCATGGGTCCCATATGCCATGCTTCTTATGACTTTTGTAATGGCTGGCCCTGGCCCAGCTAAGATTCAAGCTACCGGTCTTGTTGCCGCACATTTACATGATTTCTTGACAAGACTTTGGCCTACATTTGGTGGTGGAAGAAATTTTGTTCCAACCCCGGGCTTCATTCAGAGAGCTTTCCAAACAACACAAACCACTGTTACTGAAAGATCTTATGGTACCGCGGTTGCAAAACCACAACGATCTGCCAATACTCCCAGCTCATCTGGCAGTGTTCTACCAGAATCATGGAAGAGTCGTGGCTCAGGACATAGATTAGGGGGTGATTGATTGAGTGATTCAGAATGCAAACATGAATCATGCTGTAATATAGATAAGATGCTTTCCTATGTTGGTGTTTGGTGTCGATAAAATGAAACAATAGTCTCTGCCCTTAATGGCATCGTCATGGAATACTTTTTCTTGTGCTTGTTTCGTGAAGGTGATTCTCGAGAAACATTTTCGGATGCTTTCACGTTGTTGAGTGTAGCACCTGCGTCAACCTCCATTGTTCATCATCTCACTTCTTATTTGTTCACGCCAATCTCTTCTGTCTTTACCGCAAGCTTTCTCCACTCACAACATACATACTGTCTATTGCCATGTGCAACAAGGCGTTGCCATTATAACAAAAGGAGTGCCAATTTTTTTCAATGCAATTCAATGTTTACCCTCACCTGAACATGACTATACTATCCTTGTGAATACATTTTCCAGCCATACATATTGAATGAAGAGAAGATAATCCTAAGTTTGGTTGTTATGCCTGGAGCAGGGACTGGTTCGATAGCTCGTGAGAGGTGTTGATGTCTATTAGTGGAATGACAAGCTCATACATTTACATGGAAAACTCACTACGGAAGAACCAGACAGAGAGGTCAACGGTTAGATGGAACCAGGGATGGTGCAAAACCGTGGATGAGGAAACTGAAGCTAATATGCAGGGTCTATAATACCTTCGCATAAGTTAGTAGAGAATTGTTGCAAATAGAAAGTTCAAGTGCTTCATAATGTGCTAGCTCAGATTAGCTAAGAGCAGCTTCACGATGCTGAGCCAAAGCATTCAAATATGTCAAGTTTCATTGATCTTTTATCATGATTTTGAGATTTTGATCATGGGAGAAGCCTCGATTTGGTGGAGATAGTTAAACCCATTCGCACCATCGAGATGTAAGAAGGACAAATAGCATAGAAGTATATGACAACAACCTTGAGGTCGGTGGATAGCTACAAAGAATGACAACAATCATGTAAAATTGAGAGGTGAGGTTAGAGAGGTCAACGAGTAGTCCAAAAGGATACTTAGCGCAATTTTACCACCGCAGAAATGGTTGATATTGTTTCGACACTCTTTGGCCTCGGCTCTCTCCATTTCATGGAGTCAAAGTATTTGATAGATTTGCATGAAGTACTCTGAGTGATCATATATGTGGCGATTCACGTTTGAATTGAACATAGGTAGGCCTGGTTGTGCTAAAAGAGATGTTCATGATGTGCCATTGGGTTGGAATTGATTGAGAACGTGGTCCAATCTTTACAGTCGGACCAAAACTTTTAATGGTCGCTCATTTACCTGCAAAATTTGCCCAGGCCGGTATGTCTTTTGCCTTCGATTGAGTTTTCATGACTCTCACCTTATAGCAAGCGTCGTTGCTACGCACTCTTTGGAAGGATCTGGTCATCGCAACTCGATAATTCCTCTCCTGGTTCTTTGTCTCACGATCCATTCACATTTATCGACGTTGAACCTTTCATACTCGTTGTTGCGCCCCTGCGTCAAAGAATAAATCAAGGTCTGGGACCCGAGTACGATGTTCACGTCGAGCGGTGAAGTTGCATATCTTACGGTTTGCTAATGTTGAAATATATCAGGATTTGAGATAGTGCTGACGACATGAAGGGTGTGGAAGATGTAATAAATGCATTCGTAGACAGGATCGATTGTGTGTTCAGGGACTTGAGATCCAGTATATCTTAACTGAGTAGCGTTGATCCAAATAAATCCTTCTACACCACAGTATGAGAGTCTATCTGGATAACCCTAAGTTTGAGAGCTTTCAATAAAGTGTAGCTGAACGGTCTTTGAGTTTTAACTGACATGAATAGCAGCAATAGCTGACACTTTGGAGATGGAAGACAGATGATTTTCTTAAATCATTTATGCGCCTTAAGACTTCTTAGTTACAAACTGGAACAAACAAAAGAAGGAGGAAAACTTCCAAATGTCCCGAGATTAAAGATTACTGACAATATTTAGCTCCATGCACTGCATGCATCGTCGAGCGAAATGTCTGTCTACCACCTACCGGATCACCGTTCCGAAGTCTCTTCCACCCCCACCTGGAATTGCCCGTCCCAAATCAGTAATCCTCATCACCCCTAAATCCAATCTATCCAATCCATCACATCTCACAATTCTTCTCTAAATTTTGTTGCACATCGTACCGAATCCCGCGCCGAGCTGACGTTTTCAAACCCCTACATCGCTTGCCTCCCAAACATGCCGCTTCCGAAAATTTGGCGTTCCACGTACCGAGTTCCGAAACACGAGTTCGGTATTACAGGGGGTGAAGAGATAAACTACGCTGAACGACATCGAATGGGGGCCGAAATCCGAGGTTATCCGCAAGTTTCAGATAGACGACAGATAATTTGGGAAGTCCTTCGAGGATGGGGATCGGATGAATTTACATGACGGATGGTGATTTTGGGTCGTATTTTTGTGATGGTATCGGGTGGTCAGGATAATGGGGCTCGGGTGGATTCCGAGAATTCAGTTGTTTCGTCCGATCAAACAGTTACCTTCTGGAGGAACTCAACGATCGATGACATGGAGAACGGTTATATTATGGATATTGTTGAACAAAATGCATAAGTATAAATTGTGTTCTTAAGTCGAGTTGGCTCATTGACTGACCAATTTGGCGCGAGGACCTCAATTTGTAGCACTTGACTATTTTCAGGACCATTGACTTTGCGAATCTGTTTTTGGTTGTCCTAGGTTGAATATCAATTGGCCAATAGACTCCCAGTTAACATGGTATTTTTTTCCGAGTTATTCGATTGGGGAGGGCATGAACGTTATAGAGTGAATCTTTTAATTTTAGAGCTTGAGATTACTCTATGTGAAGAATGATAATCTTATCGCCGCCTCTTACATCACGTTTTGGTGCCGCCCATTCTACACTAAATTCAGGTCGGTACGAATTGAGATTGGCAAGTGAAGTTTCAATATCATTCGTCACATTAGAGACTATCATTGTGGAATACTTGTAAGTTTAGCTGCTGTTGAATCTATCATTTGAAAGCCATCGATAACACGGTTTGTTTATTCGACTTCTGGCGTTGAATTATGGAATTGGTTTGATGGTTGGCGAAATCAATTTTCGGATCACTTTGTACCCGAAATTATCTTGGCCATAGGATACTCGTCAGTATCGACGATCAAAAGCTTTTCCTCACCTCGGCCGAGTATTCCGTAGACATTAACTTCGCCATCCTTGATACCTAGGACTGTGCTGGTTCCCGCATATGTTGCTTCGCTTTCAGTGCCGCACCGATTGGCGAGAATAATAATGATTTCTTCAGTGCTGTTAGCTCCAACGATAGGTTTCAGTCTGGCAATCCAGTAAGAGATTGTATCCATATCAGGTTCCCTTGCTAATAGACCGTAAGGTAATTGATCCTGTCTTGTAAGCCAAGCCATGGACAAAATAACAAGATTTGCCTTCTTTTGAAGTACATGGCAAGCAAATTCACAAGTAGTCCAAGGAGTTTCGAATTTGTATGGATTCAAATCCATGCCTATAAATCATGAGTATCAGTGAATTTACTCGAAATGTTAAGATGTCATTAAGCATGACTGGCTGGGCGGAAATGATATGCTAAATGCTTACAGATTCCCATTGCCACAGTTCCTAGCCCCCTGATATTTCCATCGAAAAAGCCAGATCCTTCATGAGCCCAAGTTTCATCTGTGTAGTATAGGAATGACTTTCGATAGTTGGCGATAGTCTTACCCTCCTTATCTACCGTAACTGTGGAATTATAACATTCGGAATTTGATGATCCATTCGAAGCATCAGTAGCCTTCTCAGGATAACCAACCGTTACTACACAGTTGTACTTGAGAGCTGTCGTACGTGCCCATGAAGATGTGACACCAGAAGTAGTCGGCTCAAGATAAGGAGTGATTTGTTCCAAAGAGGAAAAGTTATAACCTGTATGACGGTTAGTCATATATTTGGCATGATACTATCATTGAACACATCTAAGATACGATGATTACCAGAAAAAGCCATCTCAGGCAATACTAAAAGATCGAGATCTTTCGGTTCTGCTTTCGCGAGTATTGCATCCGCTTTTGTGAAGTTATTAGTGACATCTCCGACCTATGCTATAGTATTAGCTATGTTTGTGAATGTCATGACTGGATGTTCTTACCTGAGGATCGAACTGTAAACAAGCGATTCTCATAATTATGGCCTTTCGTGGATTCTCCTTGGAATTTGCCAAGATTCGAGACCGAACAATTCTTCATGAAAGTGGCAAGCATGGAAAGCTCCTCCAACTATACGACAATTCGTGTTGAATATCAGTTCATGGGCCTTCGTACTACAGACAATATTGACAAGGATTCTAGCCGGGAAATGTCTGACACTCTACATCTAAGTTAGCAGTTAGGAAACAATCAACTGATGGGTTGTAAGAGGGAATAAATCGAGCAATCAAATGAAGAAAAAATACATGTAGAGGAAATGGCGAGATGATGGCGATCTTATCTCTCGAAAGTCTAGATTGTATGTGCGTGGACCAATGATGAGTGTTAAGAGATAGATAAGCCATTTACCTTTGCGGTACCAGTAGATGCAACCAAGATGGGATTTCTCAAACATCAGTTTTGCAAAAGAGCCCTATGGAGATCTTTTTAGACTTCTCAAGTTTCTCTTCCCTTGGAAACTCGACTTCTAATAAGTTCTTGGTCAATGATATGTCAAATGAGATAGTGATACAAGGACGGAGTGTTGTTCAGTATCAACAAAGTTTGATCGACAAATCGCAGAAATGAGGATGAGGCGTGCCAATAACAAGAGGGATGTGTCACTTATTATGCAAGCTTTCTATTGGCTGTACATGGCTCTGATAAAGGAGATGTAATGGAGAGGGAGAGGATCGTGATTAGTCATGGAGGCGGTCAACATTGGCAATAAAACCTAGCAACAAAAGATGCTGTGCTGTGTCCGCCATGGCCCCTCTGACAGCTTCGTGGCGCCGACCTGGCCAAGTAAAGCAGCAAAGCACATCAGCGTCTGCTTAGGATATAATCTGAGACCGTAGGGAGTCTTCTAATTCCTTGCTATGTTATCCATCAAAGCATTAGTTGTAATGGAAGGTTTCAAGAATCATTTAGGCAATGCTAGAAATACTTTCAAATCTTATGAGAACCACACCCTTCGGTGACACCTGGCTGACTAGTTGGGATTGAAAGCCGCACATCAGTTTCTTGAAGCGCGGATGGGTATGAAAAAATTAGTTCCGAGCCGTCAGTGATTTTCGGGACTTCTTTCTGCAAAATCCAATATTTCTAAAGACTCCATAGATCTCTCCCGCTTGTCGAGATTCTTGACCACCTCACGAATCCAATTTAAGGCAAGGAACCCTGCCTTTGTTTGGTTCAATTCTCTGGAAGCAGCACCAGTCTTATACAAGGGGTTTTGGCCATTTATTTCTTGAAGTGTCAATATTGGAATCGAGCCTCACATTGTGGTGGCCTTTGAGAGATTCGAGTTTTGTTTTACCCTTTATGAATTCTTTCCTCACTTCCCCGCTTTTCTCATTTACCGAACCTCACTTGAGACACAAACGACAACGAAAGGAAGCACGAAGAAAATAACATCATAATGTGAGATATCCACTTTGCATCGTCACATAAATCACAATATTTATCTCTCTGCTGATGGTTCTTCTTGTGCTCTCATCCTGTTCCTCAACAGACTCCGGGTCGAGCGACGAAAATATCGCAGGTACATGCAGCGTTTTCAAGAAATTAGGAATTTCATTGTGCTGACTAAGCCGTATCTTATGAAGGTCCCATTTCAATTCCATTCTGCCAGTCGAACCATTCGATTTTCCTTCTTATGGTGCTTCGATATACATGCATTGCTGTATTCCTCTGCCGCCAAGGCATCTATTTTTCAACCCTCCAGCCCTGAACTTCCCATTATATTCAAAATGGCAGGGTTCACCTCTTGTGCTTGAGTGAGCCCGTTGTTCCCATTGTCCAGAGCATACCAGTACCTGCCGTATATCGGTATCAAGAACCTTTTAACTTTAGAAGACGGACCCCGATCCTTTCGCAGAGTGCCACCCGACTTGCCTTCACAAATACTCCTACGCAAACGCATATTCGAGAAAAGCTGCAGTATACCCAGGTTGTTTCCGCATCTAAATACCTAAGTAATTAAAAGCCTGTGCCATGATAGTCAAGTCGAATGCCTGATACAAGACCGCATCATGCGTAATATCCAACATTTTCGAAGTTATCTGTGTCCACATCGTAGAAATCCTTTCCCTTTCCCATTCAGTCACAATGACTCTAATCATTGATTGTTTCCCTTTCAATTGCGCCCGGTCTTGTGGTGTGCTTGCAAATCGAGTCCGTAGAGGTCAGGCTGTCGACATTAAGGAGACTGCTACGAACAATATGTTAGCCTGATATCATAGATCTTTAGAAACACTGTACGAGATAGCAAATCGTCCTCGAGAACTGCGATTGCCGGCTCTTAGTTCAACGGTGCCCATGTACCCATTTCAATATCTCCTTGTAGTATGACCCTTATGGACCTGGTTATGGATTCCAATCCGTGCTGCCAACTTTGTGAACATCTATGCTGCCAAATAAAATCTGTGAATTGTGTCATACTCAATGTAGCTCGCTGACCTTTATCATATGAGAATAGAAGATTGCGGAGAATCCCTTCTCCAGTTCCGACTCATCATCCCGAATTGATAACCTTCTGCAATCCCATCACACTCAAATAGTTCTGCCCCCGCTCTGTTCTTCCTGCTCTATCCTTTCCGCTTTAGTCATGCCATCCATTGAACCCATTGCGGAGTCCTTTCCAGGCTATCGCATGCTTTCTCGTAATCTGCGCCACAATTTCCATCAACGGTGTTGTGCTTGCTGAAGATTGAGCGGTTCTATGGTTTTCAGGTATTCCTGCGTCGACATTTCTCCATCTCTCGTATCTCACCTTGGTATGCCAACTCCTTCAATCGAACCTATACGCTTGGAACGCCCATTGTGTAGCTCTGATCGTCAGGATTCTGTAGTAATGTTTGAGTCAGCGCAATGATCAGTGTCGCGAATGTAGAACTTAACGCGAATTGATGTCTCAGATTGCTTTAAGGTCAATAGTTTTGGATGATTATGCCTTTTATTTGTGAAAACTAGGTGGAAATGCTGGGTATTGAGCAATCTCTATGGCGCAGATGGTGAGCTGCTTGGCTTGTCTTGATGAAAAATATCTTCGCAATGAATTTCCATGAAAAGAGTGGAATGAAATGTCGTGTTTTCTATTTCTTGAGGATTCGGATAGGTAGGATGTCGGCATAAAAGGAAACTAGCTCTAGATTCACTCATTATCAATCATAATTCAATGGAGGGATAAAATTAATAGAACGAGACAGCGGTTTACGCGGATGGAAGTATTTACGGCATAATAAATCACTGTTGACTTCAAATATCACGGAAGATGCATAGAAAACGAGAAGTGTGTTAGAAAGTTTGTTATTCATATAAAACTAACAGTTGAAGTGATATTGATCACTGTTGGTTTGGAGCACCTCCTGGATTTCCTGGATTTTGGTGCGGGGTACCTTGTGCCCCGAATGTTGAAGATGGTGAGCCAGCAGGTAGGTTTTGACCACCTTGAGCCTGTGCCGGCCGAGCAGAACGTTGTAGAAGGCCTTGCTCTCCAAAATTCAAAGCTGGCAGTCCAGGAGGCAGGCTTTGGCGGCTTTGGCGGCTTTGGCCACCTTGTCCAAAAGTCTGACTTCCCGACTGCAAAGCGCGGGCGCGACGCTCCGATCTAGTCAGGAAATTATTTCCAAGATATCCTCGTGTTGGTGCACCACCTCTACCTCTTGATGGTAGGTGACCAGGATAGTCTAGACCGTGACCGCCACGTCTTGGAACAGCATCCCCTCCGAATCTAGCACCACGAAGTCCACCAACTGGACCAGGTTGATGGGCGCTCATAGTGGTAAGTGGGATCTGCCTCTTTGTATGCGCCTTTCGAAAGGAGCTCATCAGTTCGCGTCGCTCTTCCGCTTGTTTATTTTCAAGTTCTATGAGAGCTTGGTACTCGTCCTGAGAGGGAAGAGGAGGGGAATATGCAGGCTGTGCCTGATCAGGTTCACCAGAGTAGCCACCACCTCTTGATGCAATACCTCTGCCACGACCAAAGCCTCTGCCGCGAGGTAGAATCTCTTGGCGTGAAATCTTGGCAATTCTGCCACCTACCGTACCATGGAGAATTGAGTCTGTCGTATCTTTGCCAGCTTTGCTTTTTCTGCTTGGCTGTTCGGCCTGTGATGCTGAACCAGTGCTCTCTTGAGTTTGCGAAGGATGGTACCATAAAGCATCGCAACATCTATGCTCGCCACCCGGGGCGTGAGCAGGATGAATCTGAAGCCCCAAAGTCAGACCAGTGTTGATTTCCAACTCGTTCCAAAGGTTTAAATCGCACTTTTCGGGCTGAGTACCATTTAAAACTCCCTGTCTGCGTTGTCTTGCAAGCTCTGGAGTCTGTGGATAATCGACCTCTTTTTCCCATCTTTCTGGATCAATAACCCGGGGATCTACCTCAGCAATTGCTGGTGGCAGACCCTTACGACAAGTGACCAGGTAAAAGTACAGGTCCTTGATCTTAACCGGCTTCTTTCCGTTCCAGGTAAGGCGAGGGCAGAAGCTAACGCAGTGGTCAAGGTTACCACATCTAGCACATGCTTCCATGAAACCACTCTCAGCAGCAAAAGGACAGGATTTTGTCCAATGGCCGGCAAAACCATTACCGGTTCTATCTTTACAAGGACCGCACCAAGCTTTGTCATCGACTTTTTTATCAGTCTTCTCGGGTGCTGGTGCTACGGGTTTGAGACTCTCAGGCGCAGGCTCCTCTGTTGGATTTCCTACATCTGTCATCTCCACCTCGTTGGCAACCTTGGGTGATTCAGGTCCTGGACCTGGAACGTGTTGGAATTCAGGTCCTTGACCTGGGTATTGTTGGAATTCAGGTCCTTGACCTGGAACGTGTTGGAATTCAGGTCCTTGACCTGGGTATTGTTGGAATTCAGGTCCTTGACCTGGGTATTGTTGGAATTCAGGTCCTTGACCTGGGTATTGTTGGAATTCAGGTCCTTGACCTGGGTATTGTTGGAATTCAGGTCCTTGACCTGGAACGTGTTGGAATTCAGGTCCTTGACCTGGGTATTGTTGGAATTCAGGTCCTTGACCTGGAAATTGTTTTGGGAGTGCAGGCTGTGGAACTACAACCTTGATTGCGCTACCAGATTTACCTTCTTGACCAGTCACTGCAAGCAATGTACTGGTGTCAGAACTATGGAACAAATTTCCTTCAAGCAAATGTGCTGGCAGGAAATTAGAATTCGAAGGCGAATCTTCCTCATCAGAATAATCATTTATATCTCTCCCTGAAAAAGACATTTCGAAATATCAAAAATGTTGAGTTTTTGATGGTTTTGATTGTGTCTGGAGAAAAAAAAAAGATCGCAAAATTTTCTCAAATCCAAAGTTTGTTATGATGGTAGCCTTGCGGTTTAAGCGAGCGATACTTAGCCTGAATAACGATGGCCTAGCAACCCTAATTTTTCCTTATCTCACTTGGAAGTGAAGTTTGATATATATAGGTATATATAAATCAGCTTCGTTTGTTGCTTCAGTGCAAACATGGAATCTATGTCGTTTCTGCGCTTTCAATACTCAAAATTTTCAGCCCACTTCTCGAATCGTTGTCGAATGTCCTAACCACATGATCCTTTAGCTTGTTCCAAAGACAGATCTAGATTGTGATATGAATTTATATACAATTTTATCCCTCTATATTTGCTTTCTAAGATGATCATATCACTGCGTCCAAGTTTCATCTGACTGAGCATAGCTGCCCCAATGAATCATTTCACATTTTAATCTTTCCACATTCACTACCCGGGTATTCGAACCTTCTCATAAGCCTATTAGATCAAGGTATAGGTATATTGAATAGAAATAACATGCCTTGAGATATCCTTTTATTGCCCCTCCAAGAAGCAGACCGTTTTTAAGAGTCATTTTTCACAGCCATGGGAGTCTGCAATAAAAAAGTACATGATTTCCAGTCATCGCGAAGCCTCCTTCAATCTTTCTCTATGCGGATCCATCATCGATGTAAAGGTCAAGTACCATTTTCATAACCCCTCGTAAAGTTAAATTCGCAATGGAAGTATGTTCCACGTAATACAATAATGAGACAAAGTTATTATTCCTATTCCACGTGGAGATAGTTCATATAATCATATTATTGTATCGCAGAAAATCCATCCACGAATCTTTCTGCTCTGCGTCAAAAACATTTTACTTGACAGCAAAGAGAAACGTAATCTTTCTTGCAAAACAATTTGCTCCAGGGTCATCATTGAATGAAGCTGCTTGATCTTCAAAAACCTTTTCATTACGAAATGGAGTCAAGTCAATTTTACAAATATTCTCTCAATTATGACTTTGCTTCTGCAAGAGTCAATCTCGTATTTTAATCACCTATCGGACAAAGTCACGTAATTGAACCTCGGCTTTGCTATATACCTACTCTCTGGTCGTAATACAAGGGCATGTTTTTGATGATTACCGGGCTTGTGTATAATCCAAAATCGTGTGGTATCAAGAATGTATTCTTAGCTTTTAAATCTTTTAAATTCAATTAAAATTCAATTATTCTATATAAATTATTAAATTATATTTTATAAAGATCAACGAAATAAAGGGGTATATTCGCGAATACTCAAAACTAATTGAAAAAAGGTGCTTGATGGAGTTAGGTAGGCAATTGTATATACAACTAGAATTATTATTATTCAAAAAGAAGCAATATATTAGAATTATAAATTTTCGAAAAGAATTATAAGATATATATAATAGTATGTGTGAGATTGAAACGAATCGAATGGTATGTGTAGTAAAGCTAAACAATCTCTATTGATTGATATATCAAATATTGAAAATAAATATATTCGAGGATAATAATCTTTTTTGGAATTATACAAATAATAAATATTAATTTCTATAATTAAAGTAATTTGAAGTAATAGAATACTATTTATAAATCAATATACTTTGAATTGAAATAAAATGTATAAGAAAAAGATTTATATTTTAATCTTTTAGAAGGTTATATATATAAATCGTTTTTTCTATATTATATTTACAAAAAAGCTATAATTGAATGTAGAATATCGGAAAAAAAGAATTGTAGGAGTTACAGATTTACAAGAAATATTAAGGAAAATCTTTGAGAGAGTTATATTTATTGATATGGTTATAATATATAATTTTGAAAAAAATATTTATAGAATATGGTGTATTTTAGAAGAATATGAATATAAAGATATAAAATAAGCTTTTATTTCGAATCTATAATATGGTTGTGGTTAGTTTTTTGGGGGTATATATTTAAAAAAGTGTTCTGGATTATGTACTATATATGTAATTGAAATAGAGGAAGAAAAGAAGAAGGTTAAAGAGGAGTTGGAATAATTGAATTAAGAGTATAATTTATTGTATATATTAGTCTTTGCAGGTAGTTAATGATAGGAAGAAAGAGAGTATGATTTATGAGGGAAGAAGAAGTTTGGGTTTATTATTAGTAGTATGATATATAAGAAGAGTGTTGTATATAAAAGGGAAAATTGTGATAAAGGAGGGGTTAACTGATATTGTTTTTTTAAAAAATTTTTAGAATCTAAATTTGAATTATAAATATAAGAGCTTAATAAGAGTAATAATATAAATATTATATTAATATTAAATAATATATCAGTATATAAAGCTTCTTATATTAAGGAGTTTATAAAAAAGTCTAATATTATAAATTTCAACTAGTTATTTTAATCTCCTGATATAAATGCTATAGAGTATATATAGAGGTATATATATATACAGATTCGAAAACGATAAGATATAGGTACTTATTTTTTAAATATAGAAGAAATATATAAAGCTTAGGAAAAAGAATAATCTAATATATTTTAAAAAGTTATTGATAATATTATTCTATATATTATAAAAATATATAAACTTATTATTGAAAACTATAAAAATAACAACTTTTATAATTAAATAATATTCTAGGAATAGTCTCATTTTAATTTAGATTATAAGATTTATATAATAAAATTTCTTAGGGGAATAACATAATGATATATAGATTTATATATGAGATTATTATTTTTCGAAGATTGATATTCTCGCTTATGGAAAGCGGCAATCATCAAAAACACGCCCTCGTAATACAGTAGGAGTGCGCTACCAAACAGGGTCTATCCAATCGGAACCGGGATGAAGGAAAATCGTAACGTGCGCCCTATATTATTTGAATATGCAATATTTGCTTTTGTCATTTTCCCTTGCGTCAATTCAGACAAACCCTTTACGTTCCATCGCTGCAATCTAGTATCCGTTAAGATCTTTTTTAAAAATATACTCAGTCATTCAAAATGGCTTCCTCCCGTCAGTCTTCGATCCTGGTGCGCAATGCACAACTTAATGATGCCGCTCAAGTCGCTAAGCTTGGCTCTTTTGTTTTCAGCGCCTCCTTTGGACACTCAGTTGAACCACACGAATTGCAAACATACCTCGACGAATCATACAGCGTAACAGCAACCGCTGCAGACATATCCAACCCTCAAAAGGATATGATTGTTGCTGCGAAAGAAGGGAATGAGGAAATTATCGCTTTTGCTCTTTTGACTCGTGGCACGAGCGAACCGTGCGTCCAGCATCTGCAAAATACTGTGGAGCTACAAAGAATATACGTCCATCCAAGTAGTCATGGACAGGGTATTGGAAAATTATTAGCTGATAGGCTGGAAAATATGGCCCGAGGTCAGAAATTCCAGTACATATGGCTTGGTGTTTGGGAGGAGAACCACCAGGCAATGAAAGCATATGAGAAATGGGGATACAGAAAAATCGGAGAGCATGATTTCACGATAGGTCAAATTGTACAAAGAGATCACATATTATTGAAACAACTATAAAGTACTGAAAATTCAGATCGTTTTTTTACGAATCTGCATTGGTTAGCAGAACTTGAGAATGAAGTTGATGCCAATCCATTTCCATATTTTATCTATACCTTAACAGTTGCTTGATCATGGGAGTTCCTGAGGACATCAATGGCCACTTTCGCGAGAGTCCCATCTTCAAAAGCCCGGTAGACAGTGCTTGTGTAGGATCCTACAGTGGGGACCTGCCCGGAAAGTATCCAACCGTATTTCGCTTTTGGCGTTCTCAAGCGCAGAGATGAAAGAAATGGGACATTCAAAGAACTTCTTACAAATCTATACATGGATCTAGATGCACAACCCAGCAGTGGACTTGCATCTCCATGTTCAAGGTAAACTTCATGATTATGACACCAAGTATCAGACATTGAGCTTGCCAATGTTTCTGTGAAACTCTCCAAGTTCTCTAGTGTGTGAGACTTCTTGTTGGAGCTAGAATGGTCTATGAAAATTCCACGCATTGATTTCGTCAAGAACAGAAACCTTTCTTCGGTATTCATGCTAAATGTTGCATCAATTATACGTTACAATTCTGTCCAGAGGCTGGAAAACAAATCTTCAGTGACCGACGCGCTTAGCTCTACATTCAACGTGTATTCTTTGTGTAACAGTGTGCGAAGATACGGTTTACAGCCGCTTAGAAATGTCGCGTTCAATGCGCGAAGGTCAAGGGCTTGACACACCGCCAGGAGGTGGGCGGCCATTAGTTGACAAAGTACGTCATTAGCCATACGGGTAAACCTCGCCGAGATCAATGGAAGAGAGTTGGGCGACTGGATGCCCATTTCAGCAGTCTGAACATGTATGAGGATTCATAATAAATCTACTAAATCACTTACTAATATCTTATCAAATAAGGGATATATTGATGACTAATATATATATAATATAATTATATAATAATATTTTTTATCAAATTAATTTATAATAGAATAGAATAAAATAAAATTAAATAGAAATATATAGAAAATCTTATTAAATTGATTGATTATACTTTCTTTTTATTATCTAAAATGATTTTATAAGATACAATTTAAATCAATCTTATTTATAAGTATGGAATATATTAGAATTTTATTATAAACTATATAAACTTAGAATATTCTTTAAAGAAATTTTAGGAAAAAGCAAGTAATTTCATCTCAATTTAGTTTAACTCTTTTAAATTGATTTTAATTCAATTTTTATTTTATATATTCGATTTATCCCTCAAGTTTAAATTAATTAAATCTTCCACTATCCTTATAATACTATTATTTCTTTTTATTATAAAAGCTAATCTCCAAAAGATTATAAGTCTGGTTAGTTTAAATTAGTTTAAAAAGGAAATTAGTTTAATTTAAGATTATATATTATATATATACCGTTATTAAATTATTAAATATTGAT